TTTACTCTTTCGCAATTGATGTTTTTTTTTCTCTAGGGCTATATACTTCGAGAATATTATTTTTTTTATTTAATAAATAATTCTTTTCTATTTCCAGAAACCAATACAGGATGTATGGCTAAACCACGTTTTCTTTTCTATTTGCCGATTTCCTTCTGTCACACGAACATTAACAGTAGGTTAAAGACGAAACACAAAGAAAAAAGTAGAACGAGGAGTAACAATTGAATTCTAATTTGTTAACGAAATAATCTTTTTGTTCTTTCGTATACTCCTGTCTTCCGCTCCCTACTCTTCTAATTCCTTATATTCGGCTTAAAAGTTTCTTCTTATCTTTCATTTTTACGGTTTACCACTTCAGTTTTTGTTGCTATTTTCCTCTAACAGCTGGCGAGCTGAGTTTTAAAGGTAATCTAATAGTGACATAGTGCTGAGACAACTTTTCCTAATTGACGTTAAATACTCCAGATTTGTTCAATGTTTTTCATGCTTGAATCTCTTTAAGAAATTTGCCGACTACTTTTTCTGTACGAAGACCACGTTTGGACGCTCGCATAACTTTTGTTGATATTTAAATCACCCTTTATAGCTGTGACACTATGAACTTTTTCAAAGGAAATATATTTTCTCTAGCTTGCCTTCACAATGGTCAACATCAGGCTCCTGCTTTCTCTTTCCTTAAACGATGGCGGCCCAAACAGTGAGCCACTCGGTGCATCTAATTCTGACATATGACTGGAATAGTTCATAATTAGTACAAGCTTTTTTCCCGCATATTTCACGGTCACAGCATCACTGTTGATCTAGCAGCTTCAGCAACGAAATGTAACAACAGTTCTTTGGTGACTTATCCAACAGTACGATACTGCCAAACTACTGTCTAATACAGTTGAAGTTGAAGGCAAAACAATAAAAAATTTTTTTATGCACCATTATTTTCTTTATCGTCGTTATAATTGTCGACTACAAGAAATTTCTTTTCCTCTAACCATGTTTTCATCTGTCATTGCTAAATACGGCGACTGTTTGCACCATCAATCAACTACAAACAGCTCTACGCGGCAAAGCTTTGGATGGTTGAACGAGTCGAGGCAACCGCGGTCCTCCATCAGTTTACTTATCTCAACGTCAGTCTTGCAAATAAGTATCGTTGAGCAGCTTTGAAGGTTATATTCTTTTCGTCCTGGCTTCTGTCACATTTTGATTGCCCAAAATTTAAATCATCAGTAAATTGTCAGAGTTGTTGGTTTATTCGCTTGTTTCCAAATGTTGCTGCGGTGCTTTAAGTTAATTTTCCTACATTTGCCACATTCTCTACCTTATAACGATCTCTTAATCGTCTCCTCTGTTTTCGTTGAATTACTCTTTTTCGTCGTTTATAAATTATTCTGCTCTGTTTTCTTTACAAGAAATAATTTTTTTATTTGTCTTTCAAATTGCTTTCCTGCTAGTCGTGTCCTT